CTTCAGAAAGGCAGCCGTGCCAGGGACCTGTAGGCAAGGACACTGTCGAAGAGAAAGCACGTACACATGTGGCAAGTGTGTGCACATCTCTGTATTTATACATCTCTCTATATGTGTGTGCTTATAGACGTATGTATATGTCTGTACATGTCTATATGAGTGCACGTAATATATGTACACGTGTGTACACCCACTTGTATACAGGTAGTTAAACACACCTGCATGTATTTATACAAATATGTTCACACACGTGTCAGTGGATATTGTGTGTATGTGAATGTGTATACAGCTGAGTGAATTTGTATGCATATATACATGTGTTTATGTATATATACATGTATTGTGTACATACACACATGTGTATCTCTGTGTATTAATGTGTACATGTACACATTACCATGTGTGCATATATACATGCATGAGTATGTGTACATATGTGTATCTGCATATATATCTTCATGACAGCATAAAGCCTCACCTCTCTCCTAAGGGGCAGCTTGTAGTTTTGAACTGCTGGCCTTGTAGATTGCAGTCCAAGGAGTACCCCACTATGCCACATGGGCTCCTCTGACCCCATCAAGGGGTGTCAGCCGAGGGGGGCATCCCTCAGAGGCTAGCGGGGCCAGTGTGGACCTGCACAGCTGCCTGTCCATTTGCGGGCCTCCCGGTAGACTCTCCCTTCAAACCACCAACACACTTCATCAGCCTTTGTCCATGTCAGTTCCAAGTGCTGATGCTCCGTGACTCCGGTCAAGGCCCTGGAGAGGCCCTGCAGGGTGACCATGTCAGGCTGGCCCCTCCCAGGTGTCTTCATGTCCTTGGGGCTTGCAGTTTGGGAGATGTAGAAGACAGCCCCCATATTAGTAGTGGCCACTGGTGTGCTGAAAGGTGGGTGGGTGCTGGATGTGATGGCCAGGCCGCCCTGCCCGAGTTGGGCCCTGCCCACTTCCACCTCCGAGCCAGGTAGCCACAGAGCACAGGGCATCGGAGGCAGGTCCATCCTGGCAACCCCAGCCCTGCCGGCCATTTCCCCCTCCTCCCCACCTTACAGCACCCCCACAGGCTCCCCTCCAGAGGGGAGGACACTTCTTGTTTTCACTTCCCCTGCTGGGATCAGAACAGAACAGAAAGAAGGCTCTGGAATTCACCGCAGATGAAATGTTTTGTTTTGGTTTGTTTTAAACCTGTCATCAAGTCGATCCCGACTCCTAGTGGCCCTACAGGGTGGGGTGGAGCGTTCCCTGCGGGTTTCTGAGACTGTCACTCTTTACAGGAGTAGAAAGCCTCATCTCTCTCCTGTGGAGCAGCCGGTGGTTTTGAACTATGACCTTGCTGTTAGCAGCCCCATGTGGAACCAATACCCCAGCAGGGTAATGTTGAGGTTGAGTCAAAGCCAAACCAGACAGATGCCTTTGAGGGGACCCTGACTCTGGGCATAGCGGAGCTGCTCTGGGGTTTCCATGGCGGTGACCCTGGGACCCAGAGTGTCGGCACTATCTTTGGTGACACCTGGATGCGTTTGAATCACCCGCCTTTCCTCAGCAGCCAAGCCTGCATCATGTAAGGCCTCCTTGGGTTAGGTGGGCAAGGTCAGTGTTAGGATATAGGTGGCACAAGAGGCTGGGGAGGATCCCTGATGCTCAGCCCCGTCCCTCACCCAGCTGGCAAGGCCCCCTCTCGCGCTCTCTCCTGTTTGACGAAATCCATGGACCCGGCTGGCCCGGGCTGGGTCTGACCTGGAGAAGTTCTGAATCTTGGAAGGGGTAGGGGGCCTGAGTACCCAGGGATCGCAGGTCACAGAGCTACCCTGAGCAGTCTCTAGCCCTGCATACCTTAACCACTACCCCTGCCTGGTTGCTGGCTGTGCTGTCTGGCTGTACATCTCTGGGCCAGGATCCAGGGGCCCAGGGATCTTGTGAGATGATCAGGCCATCCCTGCCTCACGTTGTCCACAAGTGTGTTGACCTCAGAGACACAGAGCTGGGAGGGACAGGGTCCCCGCCCCAGTTAGGAGCAGATCTCAGGGCAGAGTTTGGGGGGCCAGGTCTGTGCTAACTGCCTTCTCTTGCAGTCATTGCCATCTGGACACATACAGGGGACCTTCGAACTGGCCAATAAGGAAGAAAACCGAGAGAAAAACAGATACCCCAACATCCTGCCCAGTAAGCGTTTCGCTTTGTTACATGGCCGGGGGGTGCCCAACCTTGCAGCATGCTGGGACTGAATGAGTGTGGTGACCTTGGGGGCCAGGCCCCGGCATGGACGTCATTGCTCAGCATTCACCCTGGAAGCCTGGGCAGCCAGCACTCTTGGGGGGAGCTTGACCCTACAGCCTGGGTGAGCAGAGGTGGGAGAGGGTGCCCCTTGTGCCCTACGCAGAGCTGACTTGTGGGTTCAGGCCCAGCAGCATGTGCTAGGGCAGGGGTTCTGGTGGGGAAGTAGGGGAAGAGTGTGACTGCTAGCCTGTAGGGTCAGCAGTTGGAAGTCACTGGCCTCCGTAGGAGAGAAAGATGAGGCAGTCTGTCCTTGGGGTGGGGGGCGGGGCTGTCCCACAGGGTCGCTCGGGGTGGGAATTGACTCCGTGGTAACTCTTGGTCTGGGATGGTCTTGTTTGGCTGTTTTCTTGTTCGTCTTTTTGGGGGGTCGCCTGCATTTTCTCTTTTCAACGTGAAACCCTCTTCACTCAGTAGGAGCGTTTGCATTGTTAACTACAGAGTAGGCAGAGTAGGCTACAGATTGAGCTGCTAACAGCAGGGTGGGAGGTTCAAAGCTACCAGGCACCCCAAGGGATAGAGACAAGACTTTCTGCCCCGTGAGTGTTTAGAGCCTTGGAAACCTGCAGGAGCAGTTTTACCCTGTCCTGTAGGGTCGCTTGAATGGACTCAGTGACAGGGAGTGTGGCTTGGGTTTCGACGGGGTCCCTAAGGAGCCTATAGAATCATGTACTGGACTGCTAACCATGGGGTCTGCGGGTCGAACCCACAAGTTACTCTGTGGGAGAAAACGAGGCTGTCCGCTCCTTTGAAGATTTACAGCCTCGGGAAGTCCCAGTGGCTTTGTTCCAAGTCGGAATCAACCTGCTGGCGGCGAATTGGGCTGCCGCGCCTCCCTGAGTCAGAATGGACGCGGTGGCGCTAGA